GAAATCATAGTTAATCTTTACTAGGCTCACTGGATTATGGGGTTTGCTCCTGCGTCGCTCACCCCTTCCAGCTCGCCCGTAAAGATTCATTTACAAAGCTTGACACGTAAATAAATTAAAGTTGTCCTTTCAATTGACAGAATTAACAAATTGACTGGTCGTTCTTGGTTCATCGTAGATCGAAGATAATTTTTTATTACTCTCAATTTAGAAAAAGATATGCTTTAATTAAACTCAGATTCTCTCTAAGAATTTTTTTATCAGAAAAAAAAAGTTTTTTATACAAAAAAAGTTATCTAATTTTTAATTGGTTAGTAGATCCTCTTAGCAAGTCCTTCCCCTGATAGCAAAATTTGATTTTAAGAATCTTCTAAGAAGATATGACCCGGAATAATGGAATATTCTTAGAACCTTCCTTATTGCTAAGAATGTTCTTAGGGAATTTTAAAACATTCAATAGATACCCTTTTAATGTTGCAATTAGATTCTTAGAAGCTTCTTAAAACCTTCCTAAAAAGCATTCTAAGAACATTTTAAGAATACGTTTTTGGAATATTCTTAGAAGGTTTCTCATGGAGCTTCTAGGAAGCTTTTGAGAATATTTCCAAATATGTCAGATACCCACGTTCTAATATGTTGGATTCTACATTCGTAAAATTCTTCAGGGGGCGACAAATACGCCTCACTGCCATAATATGACAGTGAAATTTATTTGTCGTCCCCTTAAAAAATTTTGCGACATATTAATATATATTTATTTAAAAATATTAAATAAACAATTTGACCTCTAAACCATAAGTTGTATGACATTATTTTATAAAAAATAAAATTGGAAAATTTTGTGGGATAAGTCAGATTAGATTGAAGTTGAAGATAGTTAGGATTATTATACATAAAAATGTTAATTCAGAAATAAAAAATCGGTACCTATACAAATTAATAAATATTTATTTTTAACATAAAAAAAACGAAATATTTCCTTATAAAATAATTCTTCATAAAAGAAGAAACCAAATAGTTCTTCATAAAAAAACATTTTTCATTGTATTTAAGTTGGATAGAAGATTTTATGTAAAAGCCGGATTATTTAGATACCTATAGTAAAAGTATTTTTGTTATAGGAATAAATTAACTTTCTATGGCAATTACTTTCTTAACATTCTAAGCATATGTTTAGAGTCGATTAATTTTTACCACTAAACTTTGCACCTTCTAAGAACCTGCCTATAGGCCAGTGAGAATATTCTTAGGATTATGCTATATTTCTTTTAAGCATGTTCTTTAGAAGAAATATAGCATGATTCTAAGAATATTCTCACTGGAAGGTTTAAAAGACATTCTTAGAACATGACTAGAAGAAATATAGCATGATCCTAAGAATATTCCCACTGGAAGGTTTAAAAAACATTCTTAGAATAAACTGTGCTATCAGGGTCGCCACAAGTCTCCAAGACGATTTATGTAATCAGGGACATCACTGATTACAAGTTTTTTTTCAGCGAACTTGCTTATATTTGAACTTGTTAGTAATTTATTTTTTTAAATCAAGGCATGTCTAAGATTAACAATTAATTAATATAATGATAACTTTTTTCCTAGTTCCTAATGGAAGTCAATTGCAAGACCAAAATATTAAAAATATTTTTTAGTTCTAACCTTATATTTTGTTTTTTCATAGCATGTTATTTTTTATTCTAGAAACTTTTCGCGATATTTTTTATTTTATATTGTATGGTAGAGGTTTTTGGTCCTGGGGACCCCTTGCGGCCGAGGGCCTCGAAAACCGAAATACATAAAATTTTAGATTTTTTTATTATAGTGAGAAAGACTACTCAAGATTTGGGGGCCCCTATGGATCGAGGGCCCGGGGCGGACCGCCCCCGCCGCCCCCTTAGTCCGACACTGAGTTCACGCTTTGCTGGGTGATTTTTAAACGTCATCAATTTTTAATACATTATTTTAGGGATCATTATGTATAAATCAATTATATTATTGTAAGTCGATTAATTAAACTGTATTATCTAAAATGCAATAAATTTATACAATTATTATTATTGTATTATAGTTGGAAATATTTAACTTATTCTTCTAATTTATTTACACATAAATAATTATAAATATTATTACAATTATTGTAAACCTATGTTATGCTACTAAATACTTACAGATTACAATTGAAGGGGTAAGAATCAAAAGGGTATAAGTGCATTTTAGGATGAAAATAATTGAAGTGCAGAATGGAGTAGTTTACAGTCCAAATTTTTTTAAACATTTTCTTATAACGGGAAAATTATACGAGTTCTGCATGTTGATTAATGCAAACAACAATATTAAAACAAGTATCCAGATTTTTGTATGTATACAAAAATCTATATATAGAGCTTTAAAAGTTAATAACTCCACTTTTCTTTTTTGCACTTATACCCCTTTGCTTCTTACCCCTTCAATGGTAATTATTAACTAAAGGCCCGGGAAAAAAAAATTATATATAATCATATATAATTATATATAATTATGTATGATCATATATAAAATAATGTATGGACATATATGATTATATATGATTATTTATTTACGTATAATTGGCTTTTATATATGGTTGTATATAAATATCTATAAACATGTAGAAACATACATGGTCATACACACTTATATATATTTAAATTTATTTTAGATGAAGAACGTTTACATTTATAATATATGAACATATATAGTCATATATATGTATGTATATGTATATATTATTATATGTGATGTAATATTATTTATTTTGGATGCAAAATACATTAATGTAAATATCCAGGATACTTAATATTTATAATATATGACTATATATGTACATATATGGTCATACAAAGTATATATATATGAACATATCTGGTATAGTGATTTTAAATTTGATGACAATACCATATGGTAACGTAACATTGTTTTTTTAACGTTAAAAAAACAATGTTACCCTTCAGAACGGACGCGTAGAGATTCTTTATATATTTATTATATTTATTTATATATATTTTTTATATATTTTATTTCAAAAATTAAAAATATTTTTTCTCTTATACGTGTTCAAAAATTAGGCAAACATGAAATCAATACAAGGGAAAAGTTTTGTTTATTTAATTTTTTTTTAAATCTGAATACATAATTTTTTATTTTCAGAGAAAATTCATTCCTAATAACATATGTTGATTGTCAAAAAGTAACATTCTTATAGTAAAATTTGTGATTTTAACTACAGGGTGTTTAAAATGTCTTGAATGGATTTTGTTTTGATAACTTTTAAACACCCAGGTGTGTGGTTAAAATCTTAAATTTGACAACGCAAATGCTATTTTTTTGACAATCCACTATCAAGAATTACTTTTCTTTGAAAAAACAAAAATAAAAAATATTTCCCCCTTGTAAACTAAATCTGGGGACATAATATATATTATGTATTAGGTAAGCAACTATAGCTACATAAAAATATAATAATAATTATTAATCATGTAATATCTAATATACATATCATTTTACATGTTTTTTTTTTTAAAGGTTTGGTCGTTTTACTACATAGTTAAGCACTCTAATAACGTGAAAAATGTCCTTGATTTCCTGCATGTTTATTAATGTAAATTCATTTTCTTCCTTGATGGGTACTATATGATCTATTTTAATTTCTGTGTCATAATGTAGAATAAAATTTAAATGCTGAACAGATAAATGTTGAACAATAAAGCACAAATCGTTTTCAATACGAAAAAAAAATCTTATCATCCCATAAAGAATTATATATGATCATATATAATTTTATTATATATGATCATGTATGAATTTTGGTCCCTATATATTCATATATAATTATATATGATCATACGTGGACCAAAATTCATGTATGGTCATACATGGGCAAAATTCATACATGATCATATATAATGAAATTATATATAATTATATATTATTATATATTATTTTTTTTTCCCGGGGGACTATAATATATTCAGTATCAGGAACAGTAAGGATAGTTTACCGATCGGCGACAATGTTTGGCGACTGAGTCTAGTGGTATTACAGTCCGCAATTTTTCTTACAGCATTTTTTTTTGCATGCAAGTTTTACTGCTGAGTGTAATACACTTTGCAATTCCAATTTCAACTTGCATGATACCAACCGAAAAAAAATAATTATAGAGTAAAATTAAATTTAAACTTAGCTCCTTTCACAAGACATTATGATATATATTACGTAATAGGATTTAGATTTAGACAATAAAGAAAATGTCTTTAAAAAACAAACCAGCCTCTCTGGGGAATTTAAAGTGCGGATTGATATGAAAAAAGTTAGCACCTTACCCCAGCCTTGCATGCAACTGGCAATAAAAAGCAGGACCGATATTTTAAGACTTGCACGAAACGTTGCTATGCGCATTGCACATGCCTTTGCACGTAGAATTGCAGACTGCAATACAGGCTTTAGAAATTATCTTTTACTGATAAAAAAAGTATAAATGATTCTAAAAGATAAAATATACAGATATTGAACAATCGTGGATAGTAAATTAATAAATAAAATACAAAATTAATTTTCGCATTGAAGCAATAGAATTTTCCACATAATACGTAACGCTTTTTTGCAATATTTGACCCATGTCACACATCGCGATGTGACGTCTAATAACGGTCTGAGGTTTGTGACGATGTATCGTCACAAACCTCAGACCGTTATTAGACGTCACATTACACATACAAAATTAGAACTCAAAATCTGATCTATTAAAGCAAAATGCGATGCATCGTCACAAACCTCAGACCGTTATTAGACGTCACATTACACATACAAAATTAGAACTCAAAACCTGATCTATTAAAGCAAAATGCAATTTAATTTATATAAATTAAAAATATTACTTACCTAAATTTGAATAAAAATGTGGTACAAAGTTGGGAAGTTAGTTAATTAAAGCATGATATATTATAATTATAATTAAATAGCATAGAATAATGTATTATTTTTTACAGATCACTGGCACTACTAATAGTCTTCACAGTTTTCCAAAGTGTACTGAGTAAACATGTAAGTATTTATTTATTTTGTATAAACAAAATAACTTGTAAAGTTGTGTTTAAAAATGCATGATGTTTATCAATGTATAAAATATATTTATTTCTCTCTCTCTCTTTATTTTTCTCCACTACCTCCGGAGTACCATAAGCCTCTCCCTCAGTAATGGAATTGGTCTGAGCCGTTGTGGCTCTTTTAACCAGTCACAAGTAGATACAACGGTTGTCTAACGAACACGTGGACACAAATAGGTTATATAACCTTGAAATTTATATGTTCATATAAATTCCTCTATTCCTTTTAAAAAAGGACAAAACGAGGAATATTATCTAGGACTGGAATCCGATTTTGTCCTCCCTGAGTCAAAGTCAACTATATTTCACACTTTTTCATGGAGCTATAGCATATATGCACGAGCGATGCGCTTCTCACCGAGGATAAAATCGAACTCCCATATATTTATTTCTATAGAAAATTATTTTTAAAGGCATCAATTAAACAATCAGACTACTCACGGTACGTTGAAAATACGTTTAACCCAAAAGTGCAGGTTGTAGGTCATCCCTTCGAGGAAATTTGATTTGAATTTTTTTTACATATGTTTTGCCTCTAAAAACTTTTAATTTTAGTATATTTTATTTTGGTGAAAAGTATTTATTTATAAACAACCCAAATTATAACATTCCCCAATAAATTATTATTTATTTTATTATAGCAAAAATAATTTATCAGGGCTGTATTTCACAAAATTAAATTTAATTAAAAATATAAAAGTTGATGCGGGGGATTTATATTCGTGAATTTAAACACGTGTATTGTTCGTAGTACGTTATTTATTTACAATGAAAATATTGAAGTAACTTACAACGGTGGTGAAGCTGGCTGTCGCGGCACGAGAGAATTATCGAAAAAGTTGAAGTGTCTCGGATTGGATTGTGGTGTCAACTGGAGGGTTTCGGGACTCGGTTTCTTTTGAACGAATGATTTGGTTTATTTTGAACGTTTGAATCTGACTGATTGATTGTAGATATAGGAATAAATTTTATATTTAAGATACAGGTAATTCTGACATCACGTGTTCATTGCGCGACGGTTGCATTAGGGTCAGGTTTTTCCGATTGCTGGGATTTTGGAGAGTAATTTGCATAGGAATTCTACGAAGGATAAGGATTACGGGTAGGATTATGTTTAAGCCTCGACAAACCAGAGTACATTTTGTCACGTAGTTATAATATTGTTTTATGATTATTTGCCTGGGTTTATGATGTTTTTAAGATGTTTAATGGAGGTAATGCCGCTACATTGATATTTTTTGTTATTAATTTTAAACTTGTTTTTTATGAACTATTATTAACTTTATAAAGTATACTTAAATATATTTAAATTTTACTAAAAGTCGTCTTAGCTTAATTAAAACTAATTTTATAATTTGCCCCTATTAAAAACATACCATTTAACTTAAACTTAAATTAAGGGAGACTAATCTAAGCCTAACTCAATCCTATATAATGAAAATTAAGATTAACTAAGAATAATTTTAACCTAAAACTAAAGCCTGGTTCTAACATAAAAGTAATTTAATTTAACTTAAAAGTTAAAAACCCAAGACTTCTTTGTAACGTTCATACAGTGATGTAAATTAAGACTTAATATATATATATATATAAATATATATATATATATATATATATATATATAGCTGGCAACATGGCGAACTACAGTGAATTTTCCTCTGAGTTAACAAAATTAAAAAAGATATATTAATCGACATAATTTATAAATAAAAATGTATCAGACAATGTGCCCTTGAGTGAAGAACTAAAAGCATACATAAATGGTGACGAAGATGCAGAAGTTTTTACTGATGCAAACGATGTAAACAATCATAACCTGAAAAATAGTGCCGAGTTCATATGCGTCCAAAACAATGCGAAAATGCTAAAAGTTGAATTGGAGTACACCAAAACAATTATTAAAAACTATGGTGAGTGACAAAGAATTAATTATTAATTTATTACAAAATGACTTACAAAGAAAACAGTGCGAGGTTGCCAATACGAGTAATAAATCTCAAAATAAATCAAACCTACCGAATGCAGAAAAATTCTGAGTCAACATCTGCTGTAAAACCTCAAGCAGAAAGAATTAAGAAAACAAGCAATGAAATACAAAATAAAGCAAACAAAAATAAAAAAGTGTTTGGATCACAAACAAACGATAAAAATTTATTAAATTCGGCTCCAAAAAAAAGCGTTAGAGTGTCTTTAAATACAAAAAATGAAGCCATCGAAGAATACGTAAAAAAAAAACTTTCAATATACAGGAGGTTACGGTAGAACCGTGTCCAGTTCGAGAAAACGCCAAAAGGTCTTTCGTTTAAAGTGGAAGCGGACTTTTCCTTATTAGACCAACTTTATAATAGTGATAATTGGCCTTCAGGAATTACAGTATCACGTTATAAGTTATTTCGAACCACAACAAAAACTAATAAACAAAATTATTTAATAATATCAAACATAAACATACAATGCATCAAAAATAAATTAGACAAATTGGAATTATGTTTATATGATTGGAACATGGATGTAGTTTGTATAACAGAACACTGGGTAACTGAAAAACTATAGTAGGGAGAAACATAAACACGGAGGCTCATTAATATTGGTTAAAAACAATATTGATATTAAAAAAATCCCTGAGATAAAAGCAGAATCAGAAGAACAAAATGTAGAAATGAGTGCAATTGAACTAATTAAAAAAAAGCAATAATAGCAGTCTACCGTTCGCCTTTGGGAAATAATCAAACATTTTTATTAAAAATAGAAACTGTTCTAGAAATTTTAAACAACTCACAAAAAAAACAAAAAGATAATATTTGCGGGAGATTTTAATTTAAACTTCTTAGTAGAAACAAAAGAAAGTAAATGTTTAAGAGATGTTTTGCAACTCACAACTTTAAATTTATAATGAAAAATCCATCAAGAGAAATAAATCAAAGTTCAACTTGCATTGACAACTTTTTCTGCAATTTTAAAATTAAGGACATCCTAACCCAAACAGTAAATCTTCATCTAGGCGATCATTATGCACAAATTATAAAATTTTTAGATGAAAACCATAATATAAAATGTACATAAATTAAAAAAACCATAAGGCATTTAAACTCTCAAAATATTGACTTATTAAAAAAATCCCTAGCTACTCTTGACTGGAACTACATCTTAAATGAAAAATCAGCAGCAGACTGTTTTACACGGTTTTTTTAAGAAATCTTGATTTTGTATAATAAGTGCTGTCCTGAAGAAGAAATTAGTTTTAAATTAAATAAACCACATAAATATACCTATATCACCCAAGAATTAAAAGACCTCAAAAATAGCCTTGATGCTCTAGACACCATTTTTAAGGTAAAAAAAGATAAAGAGTCCTTTGAGGCCTATAAAAAAATTAAAGTAATTTACAACGAAACTCTAACAAAAAAAGGAAAGAACATAACGAACAAACAATAACTAACTCACAAAATAAAACCAAAGCCATCTGGAAGGTTATCAATAGGGATGGGATATTTAGGTACTAAAAACTGAAAAATAGGTAACTAAAAAGGTACTAAAAAAAAAGCATTTTAGGTTAAAAAAAAACAGCATTTTAGGTAAAAAAAACATTAAAAGTTCAAGTTTCTTTTATAATTTTGTTTAGCCGCATAGCCAAACACAGAACATACCCACAATAAACTATTTCTATGCAATAAACTGTGTTTCACTGAGTGACACTCACTACACAGAAATTCTATGACAGAACATAAGCTCAATACAAAGAAATACTGTAAAGAAAGTTACTGTTACAGTCTGTGACCCATAGAAATAATTTAGAATAATAGAATAATTTCTATGCTGTGACCATAAGAAAAAATTCTATACCGTTGAGTTGCACGCCCTGGATAAAATATTGGCGGAAAATTTAAAAAGAACACAAAAAAATAAAATAAGTAAAAATATGTGAAAATAAACTGACAAATTAAAAAATATGTAACAAAAGTATGAAAAGGTAGTTTAAAGCAAAAACCTCCAAAAAAGGTAAAAAAGGTAAAAACTAGTTAAAAAAAATGGGTAAGAAAAGTATAAAAAGGTAGTTTAAAGCAAAAACCTCCAAAAAAGGTAAAAAAGGTGAAAACAAGTTAGGTTCATATAAAAGAAAATCTTTTAAAACACATTTTGGCATTATTGGTTTTCAAATAGTTACATCGGTTGAAAAAAGGTAAAATAACTAAAATCCCATCCCTAGTTATCAACCAAGAGACAGGAAAACAAAAACCACCTATAATCCAGAATAAAATTGATGGCGAAACTATAAACGTCGGCGAATTTAAAATAAGTTTTAATTTTCCTGTCCTAATACCCACAAACCTAACCTCAAAAAATTTGTTAAAAGGACAAAACTACTATGGATAATTTAAATGAAATGGGTTTTTTTTAAGTTTTAAGACAAAAATACAACAAAGAAACTATAAACAAATTTTTTCTCAGAAGTTAGAGAAAAACTAAATGCAACTTTTTTAAATGATAATGAGCTTAGCATTCAAATTTTACAAAAAAATAAGGAAAGAGCAGTCTTTTCTTGTTTCTTTTATCAAGTTACCGAAGAAGAGATAGGAAAAATAATAACTACGATAAAAAGCAAAAAACTAAAGATATATATGGTATGTCGACCAACTTACTTAAATCAATAAAGTTAAATATAATTTCTCCATTAACATAGATAATTAATAAATGTCTTCTAGAGGGAACATTTCCAAAAGAATTAAAAAGGGCCAAAATTATTCCCATTTTTAAAAAAGGCGAAAAGTCGGATCCAAGCAATTACAGGCCAATATCAATCCTTCCTGCAATATCAAAAATTTTTGAAAGCGTTATAAAAAACAGGTTGTTAATCATTTAATATACTTTGAAAATAAAAATCTTCTTAACGAAAACCAATATGGGTATCGTCAAAACAGATCAACAACCACCGCACTG